TAATTTGCTGATTATTAAGTAGTTGTTAAGTTTAGGTATGGGGTAGGATTAAGGGATCGAAAATGTGGTCATGCAGAATAAGGCATTAATATGTGCTTTATAAATACTAATAAACAGTCAATATGCTAGTAATATGCATGTTAATAATCAACTGTTTAAGAGAAAATCAGTCCCTAAACTGAAGTGTTACCCAATATTTTATTAACCTGGTCCAAAATACACAAATCAACAGGCATATGAGAAGCACAGTTACCCGTAGAGACTATGTCTCATTGTGCAGCTAAAAAGAAAATCACAAACACTTGCAGACATTACGCATTAAGATGTAGGCTGTTTTAAGTCCATGTTTAGCTCCAGGATGCCTCCTAATACAAGTTGCCATGGTGATAACCAGGAACAGGACTGGAATCTTAACTCTCAAAGAAGAGAAAAACAACAGAGATGGCAAGAGGAAAAAATAAGAAGCAAAGTCTTTTCATGCGGTACGGACGAAGCCGTGGAATTTATTTTTTACATGGATTAATTTGATTAGATACTTTTATAGAAAGTGACTGAGGAATAACAAAGGAGATTAGGAAGCCAGCAAAATAAGCAGTCACAAAAAAATCTGCATAAATCTGCATTATTTTCTTTTTCAGTCTGTATTTTTGTCTTGTTTAAGGAATGTTTAGACATTTTTACTGCATAACAAGACATATTGACCTAATAATCAAAACTGCATGAGAAAATAAAAGTTTAAAAAAACATACCTTGAATTAAGTTTCTTTTTCTTGTTCTGAAAAAAAAAAACAAAAAAAACAGAAAGGGTCTTTTTTAAGTGGCTTCATTTATATCGTAAGCTGTTTTTTTGTGGCTTCAGCAAATCGGGTTGGGGCTGGATGCTTGTTCCACCATTGAGGGACAGTGAAAGTTCAGCACTGAAATTAAACACAGCAACTGTACAAAGCACATTAACATTTAATGAGGACTGCACTGCATTAAGACAGTTTATTTTTGTCTGTTGTTAAACTATGCCGTTACATTTTGGCACTATTTTACACTTGGCATTTGTTTACATTGTATACCTGTGTCATCACTGTGACGAGTGGGGCGGGGCCGAGAGCGGTGGGAGCAGAGGAAGGCTGGTGGAGTTTAATGATAATGAGCGACACCTGTGCCACTCACCGTTCTCGAGTACCAAGGAGGAGCTCCGCAAGGATAAAAGGAGGAGTGAAGACAGTGGAAGACGAGAGAGGACCAGGCCTGGGATTTATTTTGTGTTTTCATATATGTTTTATGCGGTGTTTGTTTATTTTATTATTAAATGGTTTTAATGTTCGCCGGTTCCTGCCTCCTTCTTCCCACATCTACGAACTTTGCTACAATCACAATTTGATGTTACTGCTTTTACTACTCTGGGACAGGGCTTCATAACCCATGGTCCTGTGAAGAGTTGGGATAAAAGTCAACTTAAGCTGTTTTAGGTGGTTGCTGCTGAATGTTTCAGTGCTTATACAACGCTATCTTACGACCAATTTGTACGTGTGACCTCACTCTTACGAATTTGTACGATTTGTCTAGACCCCAGTGATGGATAGGTTTAGGGCCGGGGTTAGGGGTAGGTCATTCGCACAAATTGATACGAATTGAGGAACTCGTAAAATACATACGATTTAGTAAAAATCATACAAATTCCTATGAGTGGGGTCTTACAAATTGCGTTGGCTCATAAGTTTCAGAATGCAAGACTGTATTCGCAGAGACAGGGTTAGAAATAAATGTCTTGTGGGAGTTAAACCATGGCTTGCAGAGATGCCAACGCTCCTTTTGTCCTCTTCTCTTATGACAATGGACAGGTGCCTTTGATTATTCCACCCAGCTTACCCTCATGACCATATTACCATTTCCCAGGGAGAACTGACAGGTGCACAGATGACTCACCATTGCAGTTCTCCTTCTAACTTGTCCATCTGGAGAATAAGTGGCAATTTAATGTCCCGTGTGAGCAGGACAGGCTCTGGTGTAAATGGAGTGAATGCTCTCTCTTCCTCTATGGTCCATTTCACTGTCCAGGAGATGAAGTAGGTGTTCCTTCCAGTACACAAAGTGGATAATAAATTCATACAGGTAGACTGAGTTACATCATATGGGACAAGGACGGTACCCCATGCATACTGAAAGGAAAGGCACTGTACTGCCAATATTCCTGTAGTGTTGAAGGACCCTAACTAAGTGACAGAAGGTACCTGCCAATATTTACAAAGACTTGACACAAGCAGTGCACCTTGCAGTTATTCTTTTGCTGGTCCTGGAGGGCCTGCAGAGTTGAGCTACAACTTTTCTGGCAATACCTGCCAGGACATTTCTAGTAAACCTTGATTACCTTGGTTCAGGTGTGTTTAATTGGGGTTGGAGCATAGACTGTATAAAAACATGGACGTAGTGTCCGTGACGTCACCCGTAGATTTCCGAAGAGCGTTTTTGAAGCTCAAAATTGGGCGGAGGCGGCCGTCGCCATCTTGGCAGCGCGTCACCGCGCGTCACTCCCGGATAATCGAAAATGGGCAAATAGGCAGGAGCAGGTTGCTGAAGCCACGCCCACCTAGCGCGACAGTGGTGACAGCAGCGGCAATCCACCTGCCACTCAAGTGGCCACGCCCTTAATTATGCAGAACTTTAAGGCTTAATATAATTTAAATGGATGAGTTATAAAAAAATTCACCCCCCTCACAGTTGTCATCAAGGGCAAAATTAGCTATATAGACCAAAATCATTTTTTGAACCAGGCTGTAAACATGTTTTTTTCTGCTGTGAAGTTGGGCATTTTAACATGGGGAGTCTATGGGATTGACTCCCTTTTGCAGCCAGCCTCTAGCGGCCAGTTGATGAATTACAGTTTAAGTCACTTCCTTGTTGGCTTCACGAGAGAGAGAGGGGGAGGTTGCCGCTTGGGTTGGAGCTAAACTCTGCAGGACTTTGGCTCTCCAGGAGCAGGACTGGACACCTCTGTTCTTGGCCAAAGGACACTCCAGAGATCATTTCCAAAAAAAAAAAAGCAGACAACACATAATTATCTTAGTTTTAGTCAAGCTTTGTCCCAGAGGCCAGGAGTGCCAAGAGAACACTGTTTTCCTGCGTTGCAACATTTCCTTAGCTCTTAATCTAATAACTTGCAAACCTGACCTTGTTGCAGGATCAGAGATACCATTAGATCCCTCAGTACCCTGACACCAAGTTGGCTATGATGGCCATGGGCACAGCAAGCTCTTGGACAAGGGTGATGGCAGTGCTCGGTACTAGAGACAAGACTGTGCCTAAAGCTTGAGCTTAAGAGCATGTTTTCATAAACTTGTCATAAACTTGGGAGCATTTGGACTCAGTCTTGACAGTCTTGAGTAGTACAACACTGCGGATACTTTTTTCTGTCTGTATCGATTCATATGATCCGCTCTGTGCTATTGTGTCTTTGGACAGAAGCACACTGTGTGTGTGCTGCTCAGGTTTGTGTGACATTGAAGCAAAACCAGACTTCATTCAGCCTAAAAGGAAGCTTATTTAAACTGTCTGAAGAGTTCACATGCAGGGGTCTGTGTTGACTCAGACTCGACCCTCTTATGGTCTCAATCATTTTTTTTGTGCCATTTTTGCCTTTTAGGAAAGTATATATATTGACAGGAAACAAAGTGGGAGAGAGAGGGGGGACAGGATTGGCAAAGGGCCGTGAGCCGGTACGCAAACTCAGGACGCCCAAAGTGCAACAGTGCTATATTTCGACGCGCTGCCCACAAGGCTATCAGCCAACCTGGTCTCAGTTATTACTCTGAAAGCCAAAGTATACTTCAGTTTTTACATGTACATGAGGGTCCACGTGATGCAAATTTCGTCACCTTAACAACAACAAAATTGTGGAGACTACCCCTGCGTTCCATTCGGAAGGGGTCATCCCTATGCCCTAATCCCTTGAAAGGGTTTACCTTCCGGAGTGAGAGCTTCGAAGGGTTGAAGGGTGTAGGGGACCAAACAACTGTTTCTTGAAGTGCCCTTCTGTGTCATCATCATGTGCCCACACGGAGGCGCTGTCATCATGCAAAGAATCTGCGCAAAGGATAATGGGGGCCCGAAGTGTCCATCAGTTGTACCCTTTGAAATCCTTCATTTCAAAGGGCCCTTTGAAGTGGCCAATTTTGAGCACTTCAGTTTGGAACGACCCTTCAATATGGCGGCCATGATAGTTTTCACTCCGAAGTGCCCTTCAGAGGGTGATATATCCCGTTTGGAATGCACCGTACAACAGCCGCATTGATGAGCGTTTGTGTGAAAGGGATGTGAGATAGCAGCAACTTTAGATTAAAAGAGTGCAAAGACATTTTTATCGGTCATAACTTCTGGAGAAAAATAGCGCAGAAAAAAATGAAGCTTTCTAGAGGGCATGTGTAGACCTCCTGCATTCGCATACACCTCAAATGGACTATACTTTGAAAGGCTACGTGTACAACTGTGCATAAAAAAAAATTGTTATACTTGGGCCTTGACTCAATTTACTCAGTCAGGTCTCTACCTGGACTCAGACTCGAAATAGCTGGTCTCGACTACAGCACTAGGTGATGGGTATTGTTCCCCTTGTTGATACTGCTTTAGGAAGCATGGATGATTGTGCCAGGCTTACCTTACTTTTGGACAGACTCTGAAGTTTATGATACATGGGGCAACTTTTTGAGCGATGTTGCCGTCAACAGGCAACCAGGTGAGACACCTGACTGATCTAAAGTATCCAAATTTGTTGCCCATTCTCAATGGGAAAGTGCCCAAGCAACATTGCTCAAAAAAGTTGCCCCATGTATCATCACATTGAGGCTGAGTATCATGAGCCATTGGGACAATGCTTCTATATCAGTGCTGTGATCACTTACAGGATGGCTCAACATCATGTCCATATTTATTAATCTGATATACTTTTGTGTATGCCTATAAACATTTGTGTCCTATTTCTTGTGCTCAATTTCTGTTCTGTTTCTCCGTAGTGTGAAAGTCGTGGGGAGCTGCTGGTCTCTCTGTCCTACCAGCCTGTTACTCACAGGCTTAATGTGGTAGTCCTTAAGGCCAAACACCTGCCAACCATGGACATCACTGGCCTGTCAGGCAGTAAGTACACACCACACATACACAAATATATAGATATTCGAATGATCCTATATGATGCCAAAAACTTGACAAATTCTAATGTCTTTATTTCCCTTCTCCACCCACAGACCCTTATGTTAAAGTGAATGTCTTCTACGGCCGCAAGCGCATAGCCAAGAAGAAGACGCATGTGAAGAAATGCACACTCAATCCCGTTTTCAATGAATCATTTATCTACGATGTTCCCGCTGAGCTAATGCCGGACATCTCTGTGGAGTTTCTGGTCATTGATTTTGACCGCACCACGAAGAATGAGGTCGTGGGTCGCCTGGTTCTGGGTGGTCAGAGTCCTATTCCATCAGGGGTGACTCACTGGAGGGAAGTCTGTGACAACCCAAGGCGGCAGATTGCCAAGTGGCATAACCTTATAGAGTACTAGTGTCTGGCTAACACATGGGGAAAGCAAAATGTATTCCTTCCTTCCTGTCAGCCCCTCTATAGAAAGATGCCCATTTAACAGTCTCTCCTTTTCCCTGTACAGATAGGTGTATGAGAGGATAAGTATGTGTGTCAGGACGTAAGACCAGGAAAAGACACTTAGAATGTTCTCTAATGAACTCGTAGCAAAAAAGACTCATACGTCATAGCAAAACAAAAAACAGAGGAAAAAAAGCAAAAATAACCACGTCAGTGTGGTTTTTGGCTCTGATTAAATAACGCTAAAGTCAATTATAAGAGAATTATACCCATATGAGAGTTATACCACAGTATCCTCAGAGCTTTTTACCAGTATACCGGCATATTCACAGTATACATACACTACTTTCAATTAGCCGCATGCTAGAGCTAGTGAGACACTTTTATTTTTAGGATGAAGGAGGGTTGTATGAAAAAGTGAGTTTTAAAGTCCACTTTTTAAGAAAATAATGGGGTGTGTTTTGATAGTGTAGGATAAAAATGGATGAAAAGTGATATATAAACTGGACACCATCATGAGCATTTTTGCTAACATGCTAATATTTACCACAGAAGACAAGGTTGAAATATGGCTATTATTCATATCCAGCTAAAATGTAATGCTTAATCTTTTAATGACGCTGAAATTGAGATGAAAATTCTCTGGACAAAATAAAACTCCAAATGCCAGTTAAACAAAACCTGATGTTAAGGCAGTTTTCAGCCAACCACCAAATGAAAATTAGAGACCGTCGGCTGAGGATTAAAAATGAATTTGATTCATGAAAACACTCTGATGTTCCATATAGTAAAGACAGTCTACACTTTCCCCGTTTTTATGCTGTAGCTACTTTATTTATTGTAGCTGTACTTATACATTATTGTTCATTTCTCCGTCTTAATGACTTGGACAAAGCACTTCTATGACCTATGTGTTGTCGGCGTATCTCAACATATCTACTATTCATTGATTTAAATTAAATTTTGTTTTCCTTTAGGCATATCTATGCACATTTCCATTGTACTGCAAAGGATGTTTTGACCCAGTTGCTGTGCTATACCATAGCATAGAGATCAGGGAAGGTTTGGTTAAAAACGTTGGAGGGAAACACTGATAAAACAACAGTAAAACTCAAATGTGACAGATATTAGTATATTTACGTATTGTTGTCAAATTTGTTCATTTTACATGTACTGTACCTAACATCACAGTTTCTATTGCCATCAGACATGTTTTTAAGGCCACACTTAATACAACTAATTCTTAACATCTTTGGTCACAATGTACATAATGTATCATAGGCCGTAACACCGGTACTCTTCAGTTTCTTTTTTCATAGTGCAATTGAATATCGCCAAATATACATTTGAACTTTTGACTTACAAATGGTGTCATGGAAATAACTAGCCACCCCAGTTTATTTACTTCAATAAGTTTGGCTCTAAGCCCGTCTATCCTCTATTCTATGAATTATAGCTGAGATATATGCAGATTCAGACCAATTTTTGCACTTTCGTCGAGTACTGTATTTATTTTTATGATTTGTGTTCAAAAGAAAAAAAAATATATATGTATATCAAAACCCTAATAACTATGATAGGACTAATAACTGACTATATCAAAGTTAGGATTTGGCATGAGCCAGTAACCATTAGCCAGCGGCAGCTGTCGAAAACTAACCAAAGTAGATGGACCAATGTTTTGTGGTGCGTTGGTGACCATGATGAAGCAGCTCGCACTGCAGCTTTAGACAGGCCTTTGAGTCCATGTTTGAAGGCATGCAATGTGCGTGTGGTTGTGTTCCCAATGATGTAATTCGGTGCCCACAGTCCCTGAGGCAGATTACATGCTCTATTCCCAGTGCCAATGAGCGCATATTTAGTTAATAAGGCAGAAAGTGGGAGGGTGAGAGGACGAAAAAGATATCGACTGGCTCATTAGAGATATTTAATATTTAACATGTGAAATTAATATAGCAGTAAATTAAGCCCCAGCGGTCTCTCCATGATATCTGCAGCCAAGCTCATTGTGAGTCATTAAGGCCACATAATGAGATTAACCATTGCTTATTAGCAAAAATGAATCACATTCCAATCACATTTTGAAGAAAATTAAGAAACCCATCGTCTTGCAATTTCACTCTATACATTTTCAACAGAAAAGTGAACTCTTCCACCCTCTATAATGTTTTTAACCCTGCATGCAATGACTATTCAAATTTCTGCTTCAAAACTGGTGTATATATTACAGTTTTTAGTGGTTTAAATGATAGCAAAACCCACTTTTGTAAAAACAGCAACCCAAACTACACAATGCAACCTAAGTGAAATGATACATGCGTGTTTTTCTTTATTTTAACCCTCGGCTCCTTGTGTTACTTGGAACTTTTTTGATCTTTCGGGCATAAAAGCTTGTTTTATATCAATAACTATAGACATAAAGATGAATATAACCAATTGTAAATGAGTGTTTGTTCCAATGCACTGGTGGGCAGCAGCACTTTCTGCTCTTCTTGTATCTAACTGTTTTACTTGGAATGGAAATGGTTTCTTTTTGTGCAAACCTCCTCTTTTGGAGTGCTATCTGCCCCTCTTTTTTCTCTCTGCCACTGGTCCCTAACAATCCCTCAGTTTTTTTGCTGTTGTGTGTTGTACAGAAACATTGAAAGCTGAACAAAGACGAAAATGAGCTGAGAAGAAAATTACTGTAATAAATATATTAGTCCATTTGGATACCGCAATGTTGATATGGTTAAGATGGAATTAAGTTAGTGATTCAACTTTATTTTAGGTGTCCCTTAAACCACTGTACCTAGATGATAAACAGTGTTAGTTCACCACAACTGTAGTGTGATTCATGTTGTTACATGGCCTTTTCAATATTTGTAAGTACAAGCAAGCTGTCTATGTATAATGTAAGTACAGTGAATAACATGTACTTTACATACCCAGCTTAATACTGCTCATTTCACTACATGATCTTCAGGGACATCTAACATAGAGTGTGAACTGTAATGCTTTTGAGGGCAAGTTATCTGCATACTGCTGTGAGTTTATGCTAAATACAGTATGTTACACTAATGCTGACTTGTACTGTATGTTGAAGTTGTTAACACAATGGACGTGCAAATAAAATTAAAACTGATACACTAGATCAGACCTTCCCCTCTTTCTCTGCTCTGAAGGTGAATTAAAATCAAGTTATAACTTGAGTTGTAATCTGTCACCTACTCACCCCTTATTTTGCTCAATTTTCCAACCACAAATTTTCCATTATAAGGTGAGAGATCCCCCCCTCAAAAAAAGTAGAGGCAGAAGCAGAATGGTGGCTGGTTCCATAAGCTGTTTAGACTAGTCTTACACGTTAGTCATCTAGGTCATAACTTTTTTTAGTCAGATACATAAAACTGTAGGTTGGTCTACTCTGAAATCCGAAAAGTAAGACTTGCTAGTTGGTAAGACAAGTTCTTATGACACAGTCTGAACATTGTGGCTGTTTGCACAATTGGCCACTGTGGTTACATTACAAGAAAACTGTGCACTAACAAAAAGTATTAGCATGTTTTCTGGACAAGTACCATGGCAACACATGCTATTTATGAAGTACATTTGAGCACCACTTAAAGCAACTACATTTTTACCTTGAAATATCAATTTCAGAATCATTCTGAGGGTACACTGACTGTAATAAGGCAAATGGCTTCTGTTTCTTTCCCATGCTCCCCTTCAAAACTTGTTAGCTTCACGTCCTGTCTTCTGAGATGCCTTCATCTGATTGGTTTTTGAAGGCGGGATAGATGTATTCTTTGCTGCCTCTGATATCCCACAATCGTGTGTTCAATTCCGTGAGCTAAAAAATAAAAATAACATCTAAAAGCTGTGGTTGGTGGTAAGCTTGTGTGTACATTTTTTGACCAACTTTTTCTAGCGAGAAAATACAGTAGTACTGTAGTAAATAATTATTAATTTTATCACCAAAGCTCCCTCTGTTTTGGAGTATAGATCATTAAACCTTTATGCTGCCTCATAAGTCTGTCCAAAATCACTTTTGTGAGGTACCTTTTTCTTCTTCTTCTTCTTTAGTTTTTTGGCGCATAACAATCTAAATGTATAGCGCCACCTACAGTACGTTGCTGTTGTGCAGTCATGTTATCTATTATCGTCAAAATGAGGTACCTTTTTCTGCGCAAATGCTACCTATAAAGTAAGCAGGCCTCAAATCAGCAGCCTACGTTTTGGTGAGCGGGTACGAAATCCCGTGAAACGAGCGGCCTGCTTTACGGCAGCAACAAATGCACGTGTATTACGACAGTGAATTCCACTCACTTAACTGTAGGGGGCTCCAGAGTCGCAAGAATTACACAAAACTACGTTCAGTAGGTAGGCTACGTGAATTCTGTATCATTGTATCATGACTGTAGCCTACATGGTACCAACAGTATTTTAGTCATCGAAAACAAATACAAGATAAAGAAGATTCAGACAGCTTCAGTAGCTATATACAATATTCTGTCTTATATTTCTCTATATATTTATTTTTCTTTTTTGTATTTCTTTCTTTACATGTACTTTTAACTTATTAGAATCTTACAGTAACAACAATAACTGTAGTAGCTAGCTATATATGATTTAACTATGTAAATGTATTTATTATCATTATCAAATGTATTTAGCTATCATTTATTAAAAAGTGTTTATTATATTTATATTTCATTCTATAACTTGCGTTACCGTGGTAATATACAGTATTTGTCGATGGCCCGAATGTAACACTGCGGGCTTTAGGACCCGTTTGCGCTCAGTCCTCCATGGCTTTGTATGTTTACAGTGAGAATTGTATGGCAGGAATTTTCTAACATCAAATATTTAAACATCATTTGCATCGATACAGAAGTCCCAATGGAGACAGAGATCCTGTGACACAGGTAAGCCACCAAGTAACTCAGTCGGCTTCTAACCATAGTTTTATCATGTACAGAATCACACTTTTTAAAGCATAATGACTGTAACCGCGGCGGCAACTATGTTTCTCTAGTTTATTTTATTTGACCGATTCAAGTGTTTGTTGTAATGCAACTCTGTCGCTTCATAAACAAGCCTAGTCATTCACATCGATGAACTGAGGGCAGTTCTTCAACAACTTCCAAAGAGTGTTAAAACTTTCGCATGGTTTTTGGTGATCACTAAAAGTTTATAAAATACACTTTGCTAATATAACTAATAAAATTAGTCATATACATATATGTTTTGATGTATTCTCAGAGATAAACTCACTGCAAGTCGTCGACGCGTTCGGTCTATTAATATCACAAACTATGATTTCATTGCAGTTAATCTAGTTCTGTCGGTCTGTTCATTTCAAACTCGGTCATGAAATAATAATGCACTTCTATTCATCTTTGGGTGGTTTGAAATACTTTTTCTTTAGGTCATGCAAGTGTTCCTTTTCGACAAGTTTAACACAGTGGTTTCGAGGTGCAGTTGCCACTCAATGACTCAAGGCCTTAATATTAAAAGAATGCGCTTTTGAACATGTACCATAGTAACCATAGTTTCCGCCAACATACCACAGTTAGCCTACTATCGTTAATATCGAGGCTAGCCTACAGTAAAAGTGTGGAGTCTCGGCAAAGGTATAGGCCTAAGCCACCACTTTCATCAAATTATACTAATCAATAAGTTGTCACACATATTACGAAAGCTTTAGACACTGTTTGAAAAAGATCCCACTTTAATTATGATTTTACAGTACTTTGAACTGCTTACAACAAATGGTCATTAAAGGGACATACTTAACCTTCAGGAAAAGTTGATTGTGAAGGTCAAACTAAATTTTATATTAGCTGCTTTATTTTCTCAGTTTTCTGTGATATTGTTGCAACCTTGAAGTTTTTGCAGCCAAATGATGTGATGTGTAAATAGAGTTTAAAGCTTTTATTTTTGCAAATTTATAATAAGCATGAATTATAAGCATGAAGTTAACAAATTAATAATAAGCATGAAGTAAACAAATACTATAAATTGTTTGTACATATTTATAATAAATTATATAAAACCAATATGCACTGTAAAAAAGGATCAACAGAATGTACACTACCATCGAAAGTTTGGACTCACTTTGTCTGAATTTATGTTTCTCATGACTTTGGAAATTGACTAATAGAGGCTGTAGAATAATCATTCTGTCAGCTTGAATAATTTAAGCCATTTGGTATTTATTTTATAATAAATTGCTAAGTCGTTTATTACAAACTAACAAACCATGGACACCATGAGAGCTGCTCAGACCATTTTTTGGGGGAATGACATTTTCTACAGGTGTCCCATAAAAGATAACAAACAATTATGATAGGAACACAAAATCACAAACAAACTCAATTAATATTTCTATTAAAATGATATTCATATACATACAGTATAAAATGAGATGGAGGGGAGCTGCACATAACACGCACACACACACACGCATGCACGCACGCACGCACACACACACACACACACACACACACACAAAACATAATTAAATAGAGCTGCTCAAAACTAAAAAACACCGCTCAGCTGTGTTGTTCCATTGTCTAATATTATTTCCACTGAAAATCACGTAGATGGGCTGCTCTGAAGTAACTAATGCAGCATCACAGTCAATGACAATGGAAAAATACATCAGACAGGGGTACACTAGCAGATAATCTATTATTGACAGTGGTTAATGTAACACCCACCTCGTGGATGCTTCGCTTTGTCACATGAATAGCTTGACAGAATGACTCACTTCCTCTTCTCCATCAAACTGAAGCTCTGGTGTCAAACACAGCCTCGACAAGTGCTGCTTTTCTGGGTGCAGTCAGTCACATTCTGCTGTGTTCAGCTACAGGCCCGCATTCATGCAGCGGTGCAGCTGTGGAATCAAATCTATCTGTCTGTCTGTCTGTCTGTCCGTCCGTCCATCCGTCAATCAGTCAGTCTGTCTATCTGTCTATCTATCTGTCTAGCTCTCCATCTGACTGTCCAACTGTCTGTCTACTCATCCATCCATCCATCCATCCATCCATCCATCCATCCATCCATCCGTTCGTCCGTCCGTCCATTCGTCAATCAGTCTGTCTGTCTGTCTGTCTATCTATCTGTCTGTCTGTCTGTCTGTTTGTCTGTCTATCTATCTGTCTATCTGTCTGTCTGTT